GGAAACCCAAGGAGGGGTCGAGTTTTGTTTTGTTTTTTTGATACTTCATAAAGTCAAAAGAACCAATATAACCAATGTCTTTTATACACTGTGAACATAAGCTTAATGAATTTAACAAAATTCAGTGTCATACTCTCTTTAAACAAAACAAAACAAAAAAACCCAAACTGACTGTCATCAAGTCGACTCCAACTCAGAGCGACCCCTCGTTGGGTTTCTGAGGTGGTATCTCTATGGAAGTCAGTTGCCCAGTCCTCCTTCCTAGCAGTGGCTGGTGGGTTTGAACTGCCAGCCTTCTAGTTAGCAGTCAAATGCCTTAGGCACTATGCCACCAGAGCTCCCTTTAAGCTTGTTTACAATGGCATGCCACCAATATTCAAATTATGGGCCAAACTTCTTGGTTTAGAAAAGAATGTGGGCTGTCAGTCATCTATCTAGTTTACAAAAAGTGAACCAATACCAAACAATATTATTTCACAAGGAATTTCTGTATTTTACAAGCATTAGTAAAATACTTACATGACATTTACAAGACAATCAAAGTGACAAAGAGCCTTTCAGTGAATACTGGCCCACTAGTCTTTTAAATGGGAGCTCTGGTAGTGCACTTGACTGCTAACCAGAAGACTGGTGGTTCAAACCCACCAGCCACTCCTTGGAAGGAAGGTTGGGCAATCTACTTCCGTAGTGATACTGCCTTGGAAACCCAAGGAGGGGTCAGGTCCGACTTGATGGCACGTAACAACAACAACAACAGCCTTTATAATAGTATTTATTTCTGGGTGGGTATCACAAGGAAGTTTTCTTGACCCTTTTCAATATTGTGTGATGTGTGACCTTTTCATTAGCTTGAGTTTTTATTTGTTGTTTTCAGTTTTCTTTTAAGTATCTTCGAGGGGAGTATTTTGGCTTTTTTTTTTAAAAGCAAATTCTAGCATCAAATGTGAAATCTACACAGCTGTAACCATTCTTCTGGGAACTGGCACTGGAGTTCATCTCAACTGCTTAATGCAATTACCTAAATCAGTCATGTAGTAGTAATGTAATTTGCCCATTTCTACAGCTGAAAAGAAGTTTAATCTGTAAAAAGTAAAAAGTAAAAACTACACTATTCTCCCACCTTGGAGCCAAATAATAAATACCTCACCTGTTTATTCTCAAAATCCACTAACAGTTAACTATTTGCCTTGTTGTTATGGTGAGGTGCTGTCGAGTCAGTTCTGACTCACAGTGACCCTATCATCTTATGTACAACAGAATGAAGCACTGTCTAGTCCTCGACCATCCTCCCAGTTGTTGCTATGTTTAAGCCCACTCTTGCAACCACTCTATCAATTCATCTCCTTGAGGCTCTTCCTCTTTTTTGCTGACCCTCTGCTTTACCAAGCATGATGTTCTCCTCAAGAGACTGGTCCCTCCTGGTTATACATCCAAAGTACATGAGACCATCCTCACTTCTAAAGAGCTTTCCAGCTCCACCTCTTCCAAGACAGATTTGCTTGTTCTTCTGGCATTCCATGGGCTATTCAGTATTCTTCACCAACACCATAATTCAAAGGCATCAACTTTTCTTCAGTCTTTCATATTCATTGTTCAGCTTTCACATGCATATAAGGCAACTGAAAATACCATGCCTTGGGTCAGGCGCACCTTAGTCCTCAAAGTTACATCTTTGATTTTTAACATTTTAAAGAGGTGTTTTGCAGTGGATTTGCCCAATGCAATATGTAGTTTAATTTCTTGATTGCTGCTTCCATGGGCATTGATTATAGATCCAAGTAAAATAAAATCCTTCACAACTTCAATATTTTCTCAATACAACTTCTATATTTGACTTTCAAAGTATTCCACAAAAATATTCTAAGCCTCACACAAGAAAGAATGGCAAATTACTACCCCAAAACTAAACCAAACCAAACTCACTGCCATCAAGTTGATTCTGACTCACAGTGACTCCCACTGGATTTCTGAGGCAGAAAATCTTTATGGAAGTAAACTGCCCAGTCTTCCTTCCGCAGAGTAGCTGGTGGGTTTGAAACACCAAACCTTCTGGTTAGCAGTCAAATGCCTTAGGCACCACCACCAGAATGCCAAAGGATCTTCTAAATCAAATTTGAGAGATCCTGTAGTCTGGACCACAAAGATAATGACATTTTCCTCAAAACATCTGGAGAAACCCTGAATTCAGAAATACATAAATTCCTAACTTTGAAGGCTCTAAACACCCTCAAACTATCTCAAGAGCCTGTTTGTCAACCTTCCACATGCTACTCATGGTTCCATAAGCACAATTAAGACTTATACTGGTGCTTCCCACCACCTGAAAATCACTTCTTCCCTCATCTTTGCCCAAAATTCATCCTTTAAAGGGTCAGCTTGATAGACAGCACATCCATGATTTCTTTTGAGTTCCTTCCAATTGAATCCCTCTTTGAATATAATGAAGGACTCTGAACTTCTCTTAAAATGCAAATCTTACTATGCTTGCACTATCACTGCTTCTTTATTTCACCTCTTCTTTTAGATATTTTAAATGCAGAAACTGTATTATCCTTCTCTATTCCCTCAAACACCATGGGAAAAAGGGAGAAAGTGCTGAGGAAATTGCCCAAGGTCACACAGCTAGTAACTAAACGAGTAAATCTGAATGCCAGATCCTTGACTCAAAGCCCATGTTCTAATAGTAGGAGAATAGAAGGACTGTGTACGCACAGGGAGACTGCTCAAGGGCAGGAGTGCATGGAGGGATGGACACTGGGAAGAGGTAACTATGGGGAGGAAATGGGAGGGGAGCTGTTGCATTGTGGTAAACAGCATTCAATGTCACGAGACAAAGTGTAGGTGAGCCGCTGTATGGAAAGCGAATTTGTTCTGTAAATTTTCACCCAAATAACAATTTAAAAAAAAAAAGTTATTGATATAGGTTCACAAATACTAATTGCCAAAAAAAAAGAAGCCATGTTCTTTCTACCATACCATTCCATGTTCCCTCTTAGTATCTTCTTTATAATAACTATTCAAGAAAGATCTGCAAAGTTGAATGGATTAAGACTAGCTTTCTTATTAACCTCAGGGAACCTCTAAGGTAAGTGATCCAGAGAAAATAATTTCTACAATTATACTTTCACCACCTTTGCGATCACAGCCTTACAAATCTTCATATTATGGCCCAACAAACAAATTCAATATACAGTTTTCAGAAGACAGCATGAAAGCCAACTTCAGTTCCTGAAACATCAAATGTCATTTCCTGGGTCTTTATTCAAGCAGAATAGGAGCTGTAATTATGCCTGGGACAGAGTAAGAATTCACTAAATACTTGTTGAAAAGTGAATGAAAAATGAAATTAATCATTTCTTCTGCTGTCCAAGAGTATAAGTTTACTTCCTCTAGTTCCTCCTCCAACTTCTTCACCATTACTGTCTCCTCAGAGTGATAGCTAATAAAAACAACTGGCAATTATATTTTTATGTAACTTACCAGTTTCTGATGTCATCTACTAAATAGTTCAATTCTGCTTCAAAGGCATCACAAACTTATGTCCCACTCATCGAGTCCAACTTTCATCCAGTGCTTCTACTAGTCTTTCACCTGTCCTACCAAATAACTTCCTTTAATCTTCATAAGGAGCTTTGGTAGCATAGTGCCTAAGGCATCTGACTGTTAAGCAGAAAGCTGGCAGTTCAAACCCACCAGCCACTCCTTGGAAGGAAGGTTAGGCAAGCTACTTCCGTAGTGATATCACCTCAGAAACCCAAGAAGGGGTCACCATGAGTCTGATACAACTCTATGGCAGTAGGTTTAACCTTAATAAGGATCTTCTCTTAACCTCCTACAGTCTATTCTCCATATAGCAGAGTAATACTTAAAAAAAAAAAAAAATTATTATTCCTCTGCTTCAAACATAGGAATAACGTCCCAAAGCAAAAAAACAAACTCACTGACATCAAGTCAGATCTGACTCATAGCGACCCCTCCTTGGGTTTCCGAGGCAGTATCACTATGGAAGTAGATTGCCCAACCTTCCTTCCGAGG